CCTGTTTCTCACTGTCCCCCTTTGCTCCTCTCTCTCTCTCTCTCTCTCTCTCTCTCTCTCTCTCTTCCAGTCTGCTCTCTCTTCCAGCCAACCTCCTTTGCTTTTTCTCTCTTCCCCACTTCTCTCCCTGTCTCTGACTCTGTCTCTGTGAGAATCTTTCCTCTCCTCAGAAACCCCTGAAACCTGGGGGGGCCTCACCCAGGACCCAGCAGAAAGAGTTGTCAGGCTCAGGGCTCAGGTGAGTCATGGCAGGAAGTGGACATTCCTGCCCCCAGGTCCTGTTCCTGGCCTGTCCCTCCCCGTACACGTCACTGGACCTCCCTGAACCTCTCTGGCATGTGTCACAGGAGGAACTGAAAGAACGACTCAGAAAGACACACACACACAGAAACAGTGATTTGGCACAGCCGAGCCGGCCCTGGGCTGTCTCCCTCCTTCTGAAACTGAAGGAAGAAACAGCGGCTGTGCTGACTACAAGTGGTAGCTCCTGGGCGGCAGACACAGTTGCCCTCAAACCAACCCAGCTCTCCTCCCGCGCCCCAAACCTATTTCACAACTGAGAATAGCAAGGACAGGCCAGGTGACCAGGGCTAAGCGGATCACAAGCCCAGCAGGACCCTACACCCCATCTGCTACCCCTCAGGATTCCCCCCTTGCCCATGCTAGCTGTGTCCTGGCCTCAGTCCACGCATGGGTCAGGCTCCCCAACGACCCCCCCCCCCCCCGACTTCCCCAGAAGGAACAGCCACTCAGGGCAGGATTTTGATCTTATGTTGACCGGACTGGGCTGGGCAGGCACCATGGGTGTGTCCCCTTAGCTCTCCAACTCTAGTGGAGGGAGAGGCCCTGGTTAAATTCACTGTCCAGCCCAGGAAGGTTAACTGATGAGCCCCCAGCCACACGGCCAGTGAGCCCTGGGATGTGAGTCCATGAACCATCCAGTCTGGTGCCAGGCCCTCTCCCACCCCCTTTCTCTTTCTTCCCTTCCTCCTGCCCCCACCTTTGGCTTCTGTTAAGATCAGAGGGGGTCGGCCAGAGAGAGAGACTACAGCAGGTAAGTCACACTTGTTTAATCCCCAACACCATACAGAGTCCTCTGAGCACTGCCAGGCATGATCTCTGACACAGACCAGAAGTCAGCCCTAAGCACAGTGCGAGGAATCAGCCCTGAACATGTCAGGTGTGGCCCTCAAGCAAACAAGGTGCTAATTTAAAAAACAGATGGGGGGGGGGCTGCAGCAGAGCCATAGTCCAGCAAATAGGGTGTTTGCCTTGAACATGGTTGACCTTTGTTCTATCCCCAGCATTCCATATGAGAAAAGTTACTCCAGGAGTAATTCCTGAGTGCAGAGCGAGAAGTAACCCCTGAGCATCTCCAGGTGTGACCCAAAAAGACAAAAAAAAGGTTAAGGGGGTCACACCATATACAGTCAGTTGAGGTGTGCGTCGAGATTGTGGTACTGGGAGGTTTTGGGGATCACACAGACAGCAGAGCCACCAGGATCCAACTCATGGTCTCACGCCTGCAATGCTGGGGTGCTTTCACCAGCCCCAGTCCTGGCCTCCTCAGTCTTGTATTAAGAGCACATCTGTGGACCATGCAATGCTGGGCGGGCAGGGGGTGGGGGGGCTCCCACACGCAAAGTCTACGATCCAGTCCTGTGAGTCATTCCCAGGCCTCTTTTTTGAAAATAGGGGCCACACCCAGCAGTGCTGAGGGCATCTCAGGGCCACTTGGAAGTGCTCAGGACTGACTCCTGGCTCTGATAGCGCTCTGAGATCATCAGGGCCTCTGGGCAGGGTTCGGGAGGCCAGGTGGTGCTGGGGCTCGAACTCAAGGTTTCCTGAATTAGCTTGGAGGTGCTCTCCCACTTGAACCATCTCCTCACAGCAGGTTCTGAAGCATGAGGCTGTACAGTCAGGGTATCCCCTCAGGGATTCTGACAGCGGCATGCCACATACCAGGTCACCTTTCCTCTCTGCTCTCCCCCACCGCAACCAGACCACCCAGCCCCGGGGCGCAGCTGGCATGCCATCTTGGCACGTCATCTTACCCTATGATGTTCTCACGACAGGATCGCCTGAGGACACAGTTCTTAGCTGTGCCCAGTCCTCATGCAGCACAGGGCAGGGCAGCCTTTTCAAAAGTGGAATTCTAGGGGCTGGAGCAATAGCACAGCGGTTAAGGCGTTTGTCTTGCATGCAGCCAACCCTAGTTCAAACCTCAGCATTCCATATTGTGCTCTCCCAAGCACCACCAGGAGTAATTCCTGAGTGCAGAGCCAGGAGTAACCCCTGTGCATCGCCGGGTGACCCCCCTCAAAAAAAGTGGAATTCTAGGGCCAGACATGGCTCTACAGGCTGGAGCCCCAATTTCACCACTGCAGCACCACAGCACTGCATTCTACCACACAGCACTGCCAGGAATGGCTACTGAGCACTGCTAGAAGTGACCTGGAAAAAAATGTAAAAAATAATGTGGAACTGGAGAGACTTTAGAATAGCGGGGAGGGTGCTTGCCTTGCATGTGACCAACCTGGATTCAATCCCCAGCATTTCATATGACCCCCTGAGCACCACCAGGAGAAATTCTTGAGCACAGAGCCAGGAGTAACCGCTGAGCTTCACTGGGTGTAGCCAAAAAAAAAAAAAGTTATAGGGACCGAGAGCATAGCACAACCCTGTTCATTGCATAATTGAAGTTCTGGAGTGGGTCCTAGTCATCCCCTCACGATATAAAAGGGATGTTTTTGGGGATTTTGGGGTGGGTTTGACCACACCCAGAAGTGTAGAGGGGTTACTTCTGGCTCTGCACTCAGGAATCACTCCTGGCTATGCTCAGGGGACCATATGGGAGGCTGGAAGTTGAACTGATGTTCGCCATGTGCAAGGCAAATGCCCTACCTGCTATACCATCACTCTGGCCCTCCATAAAAGAAATATTTCTTTGAGTCATTCTTCAATTTTTTCCCCCTTAGCTCTGTACTCAGTATTGAACCCAGGTTAGCCGCATGCAAGAAAAGCGCTCTACCTGCTGTGCTATCACTCAGGCCCTCTCTCTGGGACTTTTTTTTTTGCTTTTTGCTTTTTGGGTCACACCCAGTGATTCTCAGGGGTTACTCCTGGCTCTGTGCTCAGGAATTACTCTTGACAGTGCTTGGGGGACCATATGGGATGCCGGGAATTGAACCCAGGTTGACTGTGTGCAAGGCAAACACCCTACCTGCTGTGCTATCACCCCAGCCTCTGTGGTACATTTTTTTCCGGCTTTTTGGGTCACACCCAGAGATCAGGGGTTACTCCTGGCTCTGCACTCAGGAATTTCTTCTGGCATTGCTCGGGGATCGAACCTGTGTTGGCCGCATGTAAAGCAAATGCCCTACCTGCTGTACTATCATTCCGACCCCTCTTTGGGACTTTCTTATTGCAAAGTTATTAGCTTCTATAAATTATGAAACCTACGGACCCTCCCTCTCCTATCTAAACCATTTGGGAAGAATGACCAAAGTTTTTCTGTAGTTGTACCCACCTAAAACTGAGCACCCCTCGCGCCCCTCTCCCCATCTTCATTCACATCCTTCAATCAGATTTTGTTGTCCTCATTTTTTTTTAATTTTTAAAATGTAATTGGGGGGGTGGGTTTCCTTTGGAGCCACACCCGGCAGTACTCAGGGCTTACTCCTGGCTCTGGACTCAGGGATCCCTCCTGATAGGTTCTGGGGACCATACAGGGTGACAAGAATTGAACCTGGATTGGCCGTGTGCTAGGCAAACACCCTATGGCTCAGTTCTATTGTTCTCAGTTGATATATCACTGCCTGACAGCAGAGATTAGATAATCCAATATCCGAACGACAACTCCCTATTGTCACTGGGTCAGCTGAGGCCCCAGCCTTGGACCTGAGCCCAGCTCAGAGGAGGTCCAAGTAGGTCCTTGGTCAGCTGGCAGGTAGTCCTGTGGCCTCCTCAAGCTCAGACAGCACCTGGCCCGGCTGCTGATTGGTCCAAAGTCTCAACTGCTCCATGTTTTGAATTCTATTTTACACAAAAAACAAACCTTACAGAACTTTGCAAACACAGAGAAAAGGAGACAGAATGACATATGTTTCCTTGATATAATTAATACAAATATTCTGCTATTTTGCCTTTTCCCTGCAATATGTAGACTTGGTTCGGAGACATACCCAGCAGCGTTAGGAAGCTACTCCTGGCTCAGTAGACAAGGTTTGCTCCCCTAATGATAGGGTTAGGGGGAGCATATGGTACCAGAGCCTCCTGCGTGCACCAGTATGATGGGTTCTCTCCTCACCCCCCCCGGAGTATTTGAAAGTAAATGCCACCATCAGTGACTGTCACCTCTACATATTTCATTGAACATTTTTTTTAAAGGAACCATTTCCCTCACAGAACCGCAGAACCACTGCCTTAATAGCAATCTCTACTTTGCTTTGTTGGTTTTTGAGTCACACCCCGCGGTGCTCAAGGGTTACTCCTTGCTGTGCACTCAGGAATTACTTGTGGGACCATATGGGATGCTGGGGATTGAACCCAGGCCAGCAGCCTATAAGGCAAACGCCCAACCCGAAGTACTAAGTCTCCAGCCCCTCTGCTCTGGGCCCGATGTGTTTTAAGCATCTTCCCCAGAAAAGTACCTTACTGAGTGTCCTAATCAAGCAAGTGAAAGTCCTTTGTTACCTAACCTCCGGCCAGAAATGTCCTATCGGGGTAAATTTTAATCAGAGAAAGGGAGGCACCTCTTCCCCTCAGGTCCCAGAGCAAAAAAAAAAAAAAAAAAAAGAGAGGCCGGACATGAGCACCTCGGGAAAGCCGCGGTCTCACAGCGTTGGCCCCTGAGTCAGACGGAGGCAGAGCCGGCCCCCCTACCCGCGGCTGGCCGCGCCCGGAGAGAGGAAATTTGGAGAGTTGTGGGGGGGTGGAGGGGGGAGTGACGCGGAGCGGGGGACGGGGCAGCGCCCACGCAACTGCGGCTGACTCGCGAAACTCGGGGAGGGGCCCCCGGGGCCACAAAACTGTCTCGGTCGCGCGGCCCGACCGGGGCGCGGGGGAGCGCGGGGCGCGGGACAGGAGCCGCCGCTGGACATGGGCCGCGCGCCGCTGCTGCTGCCGCTGCTGCTGTGGCTTCACACCTGCGTTCCAGGTAGGCGCGGGGTGCGGAGTCCGGCGGGTGGAGGGAGGCGCCGCGCGTGCACCGCTACACCCCGCGCCGCCATGAGTTTCTTTCCCCGCGAGGCGCGCGGGAAGCGGGAGGCGAGCGAAAGCGCTAAATTAGCAGCAGCCCCCGTTTTTGGTGGCGAGGGAGCTCTCTACGCCCCGCGGGGAGGGGGGTTGGGGCCCAGCTGTTGCAATCCCGTGTCCCCGAGCGAGGAACGGAGGCACCGAGAGGTCTCCGCGACCGTCCCCGGGGTCGCACCCGGTTCCCGACATAAGGGGTGCTGGCTGGTGTCTGTCTCAGCTCCCTCGGCTCAGCCGGCGCCCCCAGGCCCCAAAGACAGGGGCGCACAGTCCCCTTTTCCGCGCCGCGGAGCCGGGGCCGGGATCCGGTAGCCAGGCGGGTGCGGGGGAGTGGGGGTGGGGGGCGCCCGGCCTCTCCCGACTTTCAGCCGACGTGACCCTCCTTCCTGTCCCCGGAAGAATGTTCCCCAAATGCACAGCACTGGGGAGAGAGGAGGAAACGGACGTAGAACTGAGTCAGGACGGGAGCGGGATATTAAGTGGGGGTGGGGGCTCGACAGTAAATAATACGGTAATGAATAATCGGGGTAGGAAAGTCTCCGCACCGCGGGAGGCCGAGAATGAGTAATGCCCCCTAAATTGGCAGTGGGGTAACGACCCAGGGGGAGGTGGGGGGCGGGGCCGGATTTGGGAGCGGGGCCACGGGACTCTGAGTCGCGGGGCGGGGCTTAATTAAAGGGGCGGGGCAGCCCGTCTCGGCTCTTCTAGGGCGGGGCTTGGGCTAAGAGGGGTGTTCAGTGGGTGAGGATGACACTTAGAGAGGGGCTCGAGGCGGGGCTAGAGTTTGGAGGAGGAGCTACAGGGTCGGGAGGAAACGCCCCGGAAGGCTATAGTACTTGGAAGTTGAGAGTTGGGAGTTGGTAGCCAGGAGAGAACCTTGGGGAAAGTCTAAGGAGAAGAGAAAACCTGATGCCATTAGTTGGGGGAATAGTTAACAGGCGCGGGGGAATGGGAAAAGAGGTGCACAGGGGATGAGGGTAAAGCAAAGATGGTCTGGAGTGGTGTGAACCAGTTTGCAGTCTGGTTCTTGAAGGCCCGGGGAGAAGTTTCACGGGGTCTGCACGATTTTAAGAACTGAGGAGGAAACGTGCGCGGGCAGGGCTTTAAAGAAGGACTGGGTGTGAACATAGAACTGGACATGGACTTCAACTATGCCGAGCCCAAAGTTGACACTCAGGGGCATCGGAGCAGAAATGTGGGTGCAGAAAGAGGGAGCAGGAACCTAACTGACCACACAGGGCCTGGAGCATTGGTTATAGTACTGGGGACCAGAAGAGAGTTTCTGGTGCCAGATGTTGAGCATCCTCTCCTCCTGCTCCCAGCCTCCTGGGGCCTGCAGTGCATGCATTGTGAGAAGAGTGGCCGTTGCGAGGTGGAAGAATGCGCTGGAGCCCAAGATCTCTGCAGAACCACTGTCCTGCAAATATGGAAAGGTAAGCACCTGCATGCCCGGCTGCCATGACCCAAGGACCCTTATCTTCCTGCTCATCTGGAAAATGCTCATAAATATGGACTCTCTAGGGGCTGGAGAGGTAGTACAGTGGGTAGGGCACTAGTCTTGCACTGACCTGGCTTTCCAGATGAACACCTCCAGGAGTGATTCCTGAGCACGGAGCCAAGAGGAAGCCCTTGGCCCCAAAACAAAATAAAATAAAAATGTAGGAACCCTCCTTCGGGGGTATGAGCTGCAAACTTTTGCTGATGAGGGGTAATTGGCGCCTCAGCCCACCCTGCAGTCTGGGGTGTCTAGTTTCAATGGAGATGAACATAGGCTGGAGAAGCAGCTCTGGCAAATGGGAATAGAGAAACTCCAAAGATCCTTGGCCACATGTGCCCACAGTCACATGTGTGAGAATATTCTTGGCAGTCATGTTTGGAATCTGCAAAATTGGAATCAACCTAATCAGTCTGCAGTGGAGGGGAAGCAGCATAGAATGTCAGAATGGAATGCTCTGCAGAGGCTTAAAGGAAGGATTCAGAGCTGCCAGCATTCAAGGGGATGAGAGAGAGAGAGAGAGAGAGAGAGAGAGAGAGAGAGAGAGAGAGAATGAGAGAGAGAATAAGAGAGAGCGACAGAGAGATAGAGAGAAGTCTGTAGTGGAAAATACTTCTTGATACTAAGTGTAAAATGTGGGAAAGAATATGATGTTATGCATACAAAGTATCATAATTAACCCACACACTAGTAGTATGGAGGAATGGGGACAAGTAGGAGCCTTTATCTTTTGGAAAATCATTATTTGGGGGGCTGAAGTGGTCGTACAGTGGGTAGAGCGGCTAGACCTGCTGCCTTGTACCCAGCTGGAGCACCACCAGGAGTGATTCCTGAGTGTGGAGCGAGGAGTAACCCCTGAGCACTGCTGGGTGTGGCCCCCAAACCAAAAATAAATAAATATAATTTAGATTGTTTTTTGTTTTGGGACCACATTGGTGCTTCTTTGCACTTACTCCTGGCCCTATGTTCAGGGATCACTCCTGGTAGAACCCTGGGGACACTTTGGGGTGCTGGGGAACAAATTCTGGGTAGGTGCAGAGCAATAATACAGCAGGTAGGGAGCTCACCTTGCATGCAACTAACCCAGGTTCAATCCCTGGCATCCTGTATGACTCAGCCAGGAGTGGTAACCCCTGAACATCGCTGAGTGTGGCCCCAAAACAAAAAATTCTGGTCGGCCAAGAGCAAGGCAGATGCCTTGCCCACTGTACTATTTCTCCAGCTTATCATTATTATTATTATTATTATTTTGGCTTTTGGGGTCACACCTGGCGATGCTCAGGGGTTACTCCTGGCTCTGTATGCAGGAATTACTCCGGGTGGTACTCAGGGACCATATGGGATGCTGGGGACCAAATCCAGGTTGACCGTGTACAAGGCAAACACCCTCCCCACTGTACTATCACTCCAGCCCACAAATTATTATTTTTGAACTGGGCCCTTCATCAGCAGTACTTGGGACTCATACAAAGCCTGAGATGAGACTGGGTCTCTTAAGCTATGATACCCAGCCTACTTTCTCTTTTTTTCCTAATATTTGAAACAAAGACAGCAAAATGCTAATATTTTGCAAATTAGGGCAATGAAGACATTGTATTTATTATTATATTATAGCACTGTAGCACCGTCCTCCCATTGTTCATCATTTGCTCCAGCGGACCTAGTAACATCTCCATTGTGAGACTTGTTACTGTGCTTGGCATATCCAATACATCCCGGGTAGCTTGCCAGGCTTTACTGTGCAGGGGAGATACTCTCGGTAGCTTGCAGGGCTCTCTGAGAGGGGCGGAGGAATCAAACTTGGGTTGGCCGCTTGCAAGACAAACGCCCTACCCGCTGTGCTATCACTCCAGCCCGATATTATCAATATAATAATATTGAGCCCCACACATGCAAGACAAGCACTCAACAGCTAAGCTATACCTCTGAGCCAATATTTTTGTTTTCTTTATTTTTTTTAGTTTTTTGTAGTGCCAAGGATCAAACACAGATAACACACATGCAAGGCATGCAAGGCAGGTGCTCTGTCATTGAGTCACATCCTGGCCTAAATCATTATTTTTGGGGGATAAAGGGGCTCCTAAATAGTGTTCAGGAGGCCCAGGGTCTACTCCCAGAAATTCTTTTTTGGGGGGGAGTGGAAAGGAATCACAACCGGCAGCACTCAGGGCTTACCCCTGATTCTGTACTCCAAGGTCACACCTGGTAGGGCTTAGCGGACCATGTGGGGTGCCTGGTATTGAACCCGAGTTGACTGTTTACAAGGCAAACACCCTCCCCTCTGTACTATCATTCTGGCCACTCCAGGTCCTTCTGGTCAGTGCTGGGGCCTCGGGATGCAGAGCTGCTCTGGCCTCCATGCTCAGGATGACATGGACCACCCCAGGGGGTGCTTGGGGGCCTCTGGAGCAGCACCTGGCCGTGCTTGTGGACTGTGTCATATCTGCACTTGTACCTGGGCCAGCAAGCTTGCAAGGCCTGTGCTGCAACCATGAACTATCCAGCCCAGTGTGTGATCATGGCATCACTGAGGGACTGGGGTGGGGCTGGATCTAACTGTTGGACGAGAGGGTTGAATCCAATCAAGAGAGGACTTCACAGGGGCTGGAGTGATAGCACAGCAGGTAGGTCGTTTGCCTTGCACGAGGCTGATCCGGGTTTGATTCGCAGCATCCCATATAGTCCCCCAAGCACTGCTAGGAGTAATTCCTGAGTGCATGAGCCAGGAGTAACCCCTGTGCAATGCCGGGTGTGACCCAAAAAGCAAAGAAAGAAATAAAGGAAGAAAGAAAGAAAGAAAGAAAGAAAGAAAGAAAGAAAGAAAGAAAGAGGACCTGGCAGAAATGAGCCCTGGGACTGGGCGACCTTTGGGCCCCTAGTGTCAGGGGACTAGAGAGATAGCACAGGGGAAAGGCTTTGGCCTTGCCTACAACTGACCCCTGTATGATCCCTGACACCACATAGGGTCTCCCAAGCACTGCCTGAGATCACTCCTGAGCACGGAGCCAGGAAGAGATCCTGAGCATAGCTGGGTATGGCCCCCAAGCCTAACCCCCAAAATAAGGTCAGGAGCATGAGGGACTGGTTGGGCCCAGCTGAGTATCCTGGGTGACGGGGACATGTCACTTGCAGGAGGAAAGAATCTGGATGTGGTGGAGAGAGGGTGCACCCACCCAGAGAAGACCAACAGGACCATGAGCTACCGCACCGGCCTGCAGATCATCGCCCTTTCAGAGACTGTGTGCGGGTCCAACCTCTGTAACCAGCCCATCCTTGGTGAGTAGGGGGACCCTCAGTAGGCCCCAGAAAAACCAGCCCTGACTTGGCCTCATGGTCCTCTCATCCTCATTCCCAGATGTAATGCTTCAGCCACCACCAAATCCTGACTCACCAAACCCAGACCCTCCCTGATTCCAAACACTTCTCCACTTCCAATTTAACCTCACCTCCGTCATCCGGTCCCCAGATTCTTGTGAACCTCCATCCCCCACCCCCCACCCACACTCTAACTCAAACCCATCTTCCAAAAACAGCAAAAAGCCCACCCCAAATTATGCAGACAGACATAGTAGACAGATAGAGCGTTTGCCTTGCACATGGCCAACCTAGGCTCGATCCTCGGCATCTCATATGGTACCCGAGTCCCTTCAGGAGTGATCCCTGAGAGCAGAGGCAGCAATGACTCCTGAACAATGCCAGGTGTGGTCCCAAAACAAACAAAACAATCAACCCCAGCCCATCCTTAGCTGCCCCATCCCCCAGCTACAAGCTCCGCCCCAGCCCTAACCCCGCCCCGTTATGCCACAACTGTCAAAGGCACGACCACATCCTCTGGCTGACATGGGCGAGTTCCGTTATCTTGCCAGTTAATATTCCACTTAGTTTTTCCCTGGCATGGGAAAAGGGTCAGCCACAGATGCTAAAAGACCAAGAACCAAGACTAGACTAGAGAGATCAGCGGCTCCAAGTTTTTTTTTATTTTGGTGGAGGGTGCGGTGGGAGGCGTTCAGGGGGTCTAGGCTTCAGTGAGAACCCCAAAATGTGGTGCTGGTTGGGCCTGTGATGCCTGGCCACTCCGATGGTGCTGGCGGGGGGCGGGGCTCAAACACTGCATCCTGCGGGGACAGAAACAGACATTTTGGTTTTTCCTTTGTGGTTTTGTTTTTTCCTTTTTGGGTCACACCCGACAATGTTTAGGGGTTACTTCTGGGAATTACTCTTTGTGGTGCTCAGGGGACCATGGGGGATGCCGGGGATTGAACCTGGGCCAGCTATGTGCAAGACAAATGCCCTCCCCACTTAACTATTGCTCCAGCCCCAGAATCAGATGTTTGTGTTCAAGGAAGAGAGCAGAGAAAGGACAGCAGTCTTCCCTCCCATAGCAGCGCTTACGGGGGGAAGCTCTGCTGTAGCCTAAGCCGTGCTTCCAATCAGAGATAATGTGCAGAGTAGTTTGAAAGTCGGGCGAAGGAAAGCCAACCCCCTGCAGGGCCTGGTGTGACCCCACTGGCCGAAGAGCCCAGGGAGAGGCAAGGTGTGGCGGAAGGAGCTGAGGAAACAGCTGTCAGTTCCGTGGTCTCCTTTCGGCTCAGCTGCAATCAGCCCCATTCCCACAGCCGCTGTGCCCTGCCCAGAATAGCTGGCTAGACCACATCCTGTTCTTACATGACACTGGGCACACAGCAGCGGGCAGGGCCGAGGGAGCAAGACTGCCCTGGGCCGTGCCCCCCCTCCCAGGGACTCACAGATCCACAGAGGGGCTCAGGGGTGCAGCGACAGACCCAGCATCAGGCAGTGACGGCTCAGATAGGTCAGAGCTGGAACTGGGGAAGACAGAGACTATGGACTAGAGAAAGAGAACAGCAGGACACTTGCCTTGCACACAACTGTCCTGGGCTCGACCCCCAGCACTGCATAGGGTCCCCCAAGCATGGCCAGAAGTGACCCCGGAGCACAGAGTCAAGAGTAAGACTGGAGTACTGCAAGGTGTGCCCCCCCAAGATAAAAAAAACATGGGGCTGGAGCAATAGCACAACAGGTAGGGCATTTGCCTTGAACGCGGCCGACCTGGGTTCGATTTTCAGCATCCCATATGGTCCTCCAAGCATTGCCAGGAGTAATTACTGAGTGCAGAGTCAGGAGTAACCCCTGAGCATCGCTGGCTATTACCCAAAAAGCAAAAATAAATAAATAAACAGGAGATAAAAAGCAGGCTAGTGGTCAAGTTTGACTGAGTGAAGAGAAGAGACCCTGGAGAAGACCCCGGGGTCAGGCTAGGGAGGCTTCCTGGAAGAAGCAGCAGCTAAGGGAAGCGCATCGAAATCTGTAAAATAACAATAAAATGAAAAACATCTCTGGTCCCAACCATTAGATTTCTGTTAAACAACTTAGACCTCAGAATGCAAGATAGATCAAAGGGAAGGTAGAGTATAGAGAGGGGGGAGGTTATCCAGGCAGAGGAGAGGAGGCTGGATGAGAACGTCAGTCCTGTAGAGGAGGATTTGGGTGGACTAGAGACTATTTAGCAGTTTCCTAAAGTGGACGATACTGCCCCCTGGAGGACAGTGGAACAATGATGGGTAGCCGTCCCCTTGGGTGCAAGTGGGGGTCACTTTCTGTTTGCTGCTCACTTAAAGAATGTAGATTTGGGGGGGGTTGGAGATAGAGTACAGTGGGGAGGACCCTTGCCTTGCATGTGGTCGACCTGGGTTCAATCCCCGGCATCCCATATGGCCCCCCAGCACTGAGTGATTCCTGAGCATAGAGCCAAGAGTAAGTCCTGAGCATTGCTGATAGTTTCCCCCGTCCACTGCCCCCAAAAATAAGGAAAGAAATTCTGGGCCAGAGAGATAGTACAGTGAGTAAGGCACTTGCTTGGCAAGCAACTGACCTGGTCTTGGTCCCTGGCATCCCATAGGGTCCTCTGAGCAATGGGAGTGATTTCTAGGAACAGAGCCAGGAGTAAACCCTGAGTACAGCTGAACGTGGCCCCCCTCCCCAATTTAAAAAATACCCTACAAATTAATTTTTTTAAAAAAGAAAGATTGGGGTGGGAGACCCAGTAATTTTTTTTCTGCAATGGGGACAGTAGGTCAGATAAAATTGGGGGCCTGTCATGTAGCAGGTGGTTGAGTAAGACTTGGCGATGGATTTGGTGAGGGTGCAGTAGTTCCCCTCATGATGGAGTCACTTGCATCAAATGACACCCCCTGCCAATGACAGCTATCACAAACTATAAGCAAATATTTGAGGAGAGCAGCCACTGAAGAGAGACAGCTGAATGTCCTGATCTTGGGGACACCTGGCCTCTCTCCCGGAGCGTGCTCCCCCATTGGGGAAACAGCCCAGACAGATCATTGCTAGACAGAGAACACAGGCGTTGGAGGCTCTGCTGAGATTGCCAGGGTGTCTGGAAGCGGAGAGGTAAAATCCTGCATGGGAGAGACCCACAGTACAGGGAGTCCCCAGATCTACAAATTTCCCTCAAGTCATTGGCAAGCTGTACGTGAGCAGGATGAGAGACGCCAAGAAACTTGGCAGAACAGAGTAGCCGGGAGGTTCCAGCACTGGGCAAGGGCTGCAGCAGGCTTGTAAGACTGGGGAGTCTGAGGGTGCCAGGTTGGAAAGGCTGCAGTGACCTCCTTAATCTTTCCCTCGAGATTACATCTAGAAGCCGGTTCCAGCTGAAATCCACCTGCTCTGGAGGTGCTGAATCCCATCCAAGATGGGAAGAAAATATGACCGTTGGCTGGAACAAAATAATGTCACTTAGAGCCTTTGAAAATTGTTGTGGATTTGGATGAAACGATAGTACAGCACTTACCTTGCCTACCTGGCTGACCTGGGTTCAATTCCAGGCATCCCATATGGTTCCCTGAGCACCACCAGAAGTGATGCCTGAGGGCAGAGCCAGGAGAAACCCCTGAGCATTACTGGGTGTGAACCAACCCACCCCCCAAAAAAGAAAGAAGTATCCAAACTAATGCCTGAATATTCACGATCAGAGATTTGCCAGGATTTGAGCCCTAGCAGGTCTGTCAAGAAGATGGCAAGAAAACCCCAGGGCCCTTCCAGAAGGCAGTGGGTCTTGGGTCTAGAGCTCAGAGAGACACTTGAGCTAGAGAGATTTTTTTTGGAGGGGGGGGTCATACCCGGCTATGTTCAGGAGTTACACCTGCATTCAGGAATTACTCCTGACAGTGTTTGGGGGATCATATGGGATGCTGGGAATTGAACCTGGGTTGGCCCTCTCTGCTATATTATTGCTCTGGCCTAAGAGAGATTGTTGAGTGACCAGCAATTAGGTACAAAGGAAGCCACGCCAGCAGATGACATTGCGTGGGAGAGTGCGGCCACGAGACCAGGAGGCTCACCTACCTTTGGAGGGGCTACATCACCATGGGCGCCTGTGAGGGCGGGGCTGAATCCCATCCAAGAGCTGTGTGGCCACAGTGCAGTATACATCTCCCATTCTGCGTTGGCTCCAGGAAGAGGACAGGCACTGTTGGTCTTCCAGATCTTTTTTTCTTCAGTGGTGTGGGGTGGGGTGATCTTTGGCTTCGGATGCCCATGATTCACCTAATTACAGCAGCAGCCTTGCCAGTTGGGTGCCGGAGCAGAGACGGGTTCTAAAACTTGGCCCCTCTCCACTGGAGTTCTGGGGTCAGGGAGGGAAGCGCATGCCAGGCCTGGGGATCAGCAGGAGCCAAGGATGACCGGTGTTTCCAGGGAAAAGTACCAGATCCAATTGGCAGGGCTGGGAAGGTCTGTGTGAGAGGCAAAGTGATCACAGACCAGTCAGTGAGGCTTTGATCTGTGAAACAATCAGGGTGTGTCCCCACGACCTCTCACCCCATTAGATAGTGCATGCACTTTTTTGGAGGGGGTGAGGGGGACACACATGGAGGTGCTCAGGGGTTGCACCTGGCTCTGCATTCAGCAATCACTCCTGGCGGTGCTCCAGGGACTGTATGAGATGGCAAGGATCGAACCCAGGTCGGCCACGTGCAAGGCAAGTACCTTACCTGCTGTGCTGTTGCTCCGGCCCCTGCCTGCAGACATATTTTTTTACGATGCTCCTCAAGTTCAGGGCCAGAGGTAAAACAGGGGTTATAATAAGGCTGCTCTGGTTCAATCCTTATCACCACGTGGTCCCCCAGGCACCACCTAGAGTGATCCGTGAGCACAGAGCCCCCACCTACTCCTCAGTTTTTTTCTCAAGGTCAGGAATCAGGAAGTTGGGGACCTGGGTTCAATATCCAGCACCACATAGGGCTCCCCAAGTCCCCCCAAGAGTGAGACCTGAGCAGTATTGCCAAGTGTGGGCCTCCCCTATTTCCTCCCCCCCACACAAAAAATGGGGGTAGTGGCTGGGCTAGATGGTTCTGGATCTTTCTTTTTTCAGGGGGTTGATGTTTTGGTTTTGGGGGGCCACACTCTTGCAATTTTCAGAGGACCCTGTGGGATGCTGGGGATGCAACCCCGGTTGGCTGCTGAGCAAGGCAAGTACCCTACACACTGGACTACCACTCGAGCCCTCCAGAAGGATTTTTTAAGTTGTAGTTCATTAATTGAATGAAAAAATTATGAATGGATGAGAGAGACCATCATTGGCAGTCTTTGATGATATTGAAGGAAATCTGAGCTAAAATCCAGAGAAGTTAGAAAGAAGGGAGTGGATTCTAGAAAGATTTGGAATGGAAGGGCTTCCGGTGGGCTAAAGGGTGGACTGAGGAAGAATTGATGCAGAAGCAAGTTCTTAAAGGAAGATCTCGGAGACTCTTCGTACAGAGCCTCACCCTTCACCTCTTTCCAAACAGATCGGGCAGGAAAGGAATTTCCCCGAAGCCGGTACCTCGAATGCTCCTCCTGTGCCTCATCAGACCTCAGCTGTGAGAGGGGCCGGGCACAGGATCTGCAATGCCGAAGCCCTACAGAACAGTGCGTGGAGGTGGTGACCCACAGGAACCTGGAAGGTGAGTCCCACTCTGCCAGACTACCTTGTGTTTGCTCTTCCCAATATTGAACAAGAGTTCATTCTCTTACGTGCAAATAAAAGCCTAGTGATAAGAAAGAGGTTCAAAGTCATTAGGACAGTTCCCACCGTTGCTGGAACCCAGATGCCTTCTCATTTCTTCCACAGCACTGCCATTCTTCTCCAAATTGTTTCATGGTACAAACTAGTTGCCAGAGCACCAGACTTCATGTCCAAGTTCCAGGAAGGATGAAGGGGGAAAGAATAGGCCAAAAGGGAAAAAAAGGAGCACCATTCCTTTTTGTAAGGAACCTTCTTTCTAGAAGTCCCATGTGTTAAATTGCTCACCATGTAACCACATGACTATGTCTTTTTTTTTTTTTTTGCTTTTTGGGTCACACCTGGCAATGCACAGGGGTTATTCCTGGCTCAGGGGACCATATGGGATGCTGAGAATCAAACCCGGGTCAGTTGCATGCAAGGCAAACGTCCTACCCACTGTGCTATCACTCCAGCCCTGACTATGTCTTTAGGATAGATACACTCACTGCCCCCAAAGAACCTGAGGGTCATACAGTGACATGTGAAGCAGAGAGCATCCCCAGGGTGGGTGGATTCAGTCTCAACCTTCATCCACTCATCTAACCTCTCTCCTCTGGTTCCCTTTGAGTCTAGGAGGTTCAAGAGATGAAAACCACGTCCGTGGCTGTGGCAACCTTCCTGGTTGCCCAGGCCCCACCGGCTTCCATAACAACCACACCTTTCACTTCCTGCGCTGTTGCAACACTGCCAAATGCAATGGGGGCCCAGGTAAGAGGGCTCCAGCTGGCAAGACCTCCATTTCCTCCTTGAAAAAAAACCACATTTATCAAACCTTTCTTAGAGATGATTTTAGGGGTTGAGGGGAGGCACGCATTGGGGTAACTCCTGGCTCAGTGCTTGTTGGTCACTGTCAGCAGTACTGGGGGCACAATCCCATGAGGATTAAACCCCGGGTTCCCTGCCTGCAAAGCGTGCACTCAGCCCATTGAACTCACTCTCTGACCCATGTGTGTTGGACTTCAGTCAGACCAGCAAACTGTCACTAAGACGCACTCCTCTTTCATCTTCCCACCATGCCCGTGATGGCAGTGGTGCCATCACCCTGGATTGGGTCACCACAACCTCCTGCTGCCTGGCAGTCAGGGTCCAGCCCAGGAGCAAAAGTGATATATTTTTGGTGGGGAGCACCCCTGTTCCTTTTCGATGCTGACCCCTGACTCTGTACTCAGGAGTCACTCCTGGCAGGGCTCGAGGAACCCTAGATGGTACTGTTGGATTTGAACCAGAGTCTGCTACACGCAAGGCATTACCTTCTATACCATCTCTCTGGCCCCAAGAATGATTTTGGGTCTGGGGTTTTGGTTTGTTTTGATTTTTGTTTTGGGGTCCCACCTGGCCATACTCAGGTTTTACTCCTGGCTCTGCACTGAGGGATCTCCTGGTGGTGCCAGGGAACCATTTGTGGTGCTGAGAGTCGAACTCAGCTTGGCCATGTGCAAGGCTAGCGCCTTCCCCACTGTACTATCTGTTCCGCCAGCTCCTGGTCTTTGTCTTACAGGCCGGCCCACAGGTAACTTCCCTTGTCTCTGCCCTGCTAAATAATCTAGTCACTTTAGTGTAAACCAGTACTGACTGATGATCAATAGAACTTTGAAACAGCCTGTGCCTGCACTGTCCAGGATGACAGCTGGCACCACATCTGGCTAGTGAGGCCCTAAAATGTACTCAGTTTCCAGATTTGACTTAATATTATTAGCTCATTTCAGCGCGACTGTCAACAACCACACATGACCATGTCAGACACCACAGGATGTGACTCCTCTATACATGAATGAAATTCAATAATTAACTAAGCTCAGTGAGTGCGGGCACTGTTTGGGTTTACCCGCCTGCTTGCACCCAGTCACTGGTTCTCAGCTGGGGAGTTGGCATCTTGCTCGCCAGCCCCAGAACCCGCGAAAAGGAAAATGCAGATCAAAGCCTGACCACCAGGGGGCTCCCTGGCGTCTCTGGGATGGACGCTGGGCCAAGAGGTCCCTACGCTCATTTCTCTGTCTTTGTGCCAAGTCGTGGAGCTTCAGGACCTGCCAGTGAATGAATTCCAGTGCTACAGCTGTGAGGGGAACAGCACCGATGGATGCTCCGTGGAAGAGACTGCCCTCATCACCTGCCGGGGCCCCATGAACCAGTGTCTGGAAGCCTCTAGCAGCCACGGTGAGGCCCATGGGTGTAGGGAGAGCGGAGGGCAGGAGTGGGCTCTGAGCTCAGTTCGGCTAAGCGGGACCTTCTGTGGAATTTCTGGTAGTATGGGATTAGAACCCATTCGGTTTCTGTTGGCCTTATAACCATGGACAGTCTGGGAAGTGGGACTTCCTGTTGACCCTCAGGGCTTCCACCCTCTGAAATATGGGGACGGTTCTTTATTTTATTCTATTTATTTTTGGGTTTTGGGTTACATTTGGTGGTGCTTAGGGCTTACCTCTGGTTCTGCACTCAGGGATCACCCCTGGTGGGCTAATATGGCCGGACCATGTGGGGGTGCCAGGAACTGAACCTGAATGGGCTGCATGCAAGGCGAATGCCCTACCCGCTGTACTATTGCTCCTGCTCCCAGGGGAAGGTTCTTTAAAGATACTTTAAAATATTCCTCCTAGTTAGGGCCAGAGAGATAGCATGGCAGGTAGGGCGCTTGCCATGCACAAGACCAGGAGCATCACCAGTTATGGCCCCAAAACAAACCAAACACCTGCCTTGAACGCAGCCTACTCTGACCTGGAATAAACCCTGAACACCAGCAGGTGTGCCCCCAAGTCTCCTCTTCACCCCCTCTGCAAAAAAAAATATTTTTCTGGCTCTTGCAAATTGTTTATGTCACCTGAGAGTCATAGACACTGTAAGATACAGATACAATTATACGTACCTACATCTATGTCAAAAATTAAACCAAGTAATTTGTTGTTGTTGTTGTTCTGGTTTGGGGCTGCATCTGGCAGTGCTCAGGGCTTCCTCCTGGCTCTGCACTCAGGGCTTACTCCCGGCAGTACTCAGAGGACCATACCAGATGCTGAGGATCAAACTGGGGTCAGCTGCATGCAAAGCGAATGCCCTACCCTCTGCACTAGTGCTCCAACCACAAACCTAACGTTTTAATGAAAAGATGCCTGTATTTGGGATCTGGGGAGACGGCTCAGAGGGCTTGAGCATATGCTTTGTATTCAGAAATACAGGTTTGATCTCAAACATCACATGGTCGCCCCCAGATACCACCAAGAGAACTCCTGGATCACTGCTTGGTGTGGTTCAAACACAAGAGAGAGAGAGAGAGAGAGAGGAAGAGAGAGATTTTCCAAAATAAAAAATCAAACAAGACTGTCATTGTTCTGACATTTTGCAAATCTCTTTACTGTTTGGCTTAATAGAAAACAGTTCATTGGTTCTTTATAACTGCTTCTGGTTTTTTGCCTATTGAATAGCATGTGTCATGGGGGTTCTGGAAAATTCCATGGTAGACTTATGAGGGCAGAAATGCTGAATGAGGGTTTGGGTTCACCCCCCCCCTTTTGGGACACACCTGACGGTGCTCAAAAGGGCTGACTCCTGATTCTGCTCAGGAATCACCCCTGGAAGGACTCAGGGGACCGTAAGGGATGCCAGGGATCAAACCTAGGTTAGCTGCATGCAAGGCAAGCAAGCACCGTTTCCTCTGAACTATCTCCCTGGGTTTAGCATTCTTCCAGGAATAATGTTGCCTTTGAAGATCTGAGGGACTCCAGGGGTTCCTGGACCACCCTTAGGTCAGCTACTTTATCCTGATGACATGTCCTCTAAGGTCACTTGGGTTTTTCGGTTCCAGACCCAACTGCAGGAAGATTTACTCTGTCCTCTCTCCTTTCAGAGCTGGGGACCCCAAACTACATGCTCAGAGGCTGTGCCACCCCGTCCTGGTGCCAAGGCCCTCATGTGGCTGAAATCTTCGAGCTGAATAATCTCAACATCTCCTGCTGTACCGGCAGTGGCTGTAATGGCCCAACTCGGGACGTCCAGCCCCGAAGCAGGGCTGACCCCCTGCCTACCTCCTCCCACCTCAACTCCACTGTCACCCTGCTTATGGTTGCTGTCCTGTGGGGAGGCACTCTCTTCTGGACCTGAACCCCTCACCCCCTGCCCTGGCTGGATCCAGAGGACCCTGATGCCCTTCCCTTTCCTCTAACACCCGTGGCCTTGCTGTGTGACCTCAGGCCAGTGTGCTGCTATCTCTGAGCCTCTGTTACCCCCATCATCCAAACATCAGTCTGCAGAATTGTGAGAACCAGAGGAGGAAAGCTGGAGAAAGGCTGTGGGACAAGGGGAAGGCTGTTATCATTGTTGTTGCCGCTGTTATTAATATTTGTATTATTTAATATTTTATACATAATTAAAGATTTTTGTATCAGGGAACTGGTCTTTCTCCATGGCATTTCTCTTTTTTTTTGTGGGGTTTTGTTTGTTTTTCAGGCCACAACCAACTATACTCAGGCCTAACTCCTGGCTCTGCACTCAGGGATCACTCCTGGCGGTGCTGGTGTGTGTATGGAGGGGAGGTGAGGGTGGTGGGGGAGCGACTCTAGGGTGCTGGGGATAGGAACTGGGTTGGCTGCGTGCAAGGCAAGCACCCTGTCTGCTGTCCTGTCGCTCTGGCCCCTCCACATTGACTTCTGAGCTCTAGTTGCAACGTCCAACTGACCACTGACCTTCCAGTCGCTTCTCCCAAACCCTAGTATCAAGCCTACTTTGTTGTTCTCAGGACACGAGTGTGTATTTCTTCTGGGGCTCAGGGACAGGCGCTGAAGAGATCATCCACTCCAGCCAGGAACCCCATGATGCACTGCGGCAACAAACATGGACAGGACCACATTTCCCGTGATGCTCCGGGGCAGAGACAAGGGCGGGGCTTGGTTTCCTGGGACATTTTAGGACTGGCTGAGAAAAAAGACAACTATCATGTGGATGGCACGTGGAATGCAATAACGAAGGACTTCTCGTTATTGTGTTCCATGTTATTCTCCGTGGGAAGCCACGACGGCTGAAGCAAGCTGCGAAGACTTAAAGTTATTCCCTAGGTTAGAAGCGATAGGAATAGCGAGGAGGTCGCTTGCTTTGCACATCACTCACCGAATTCAATCCCCAGCATCTCATATGGTCCCCTGAGCCACGCCAGGAATGATCCCTGAGCACTACGGGGCGTGACTACAAACCAAAAAAAAAAAAGTACATCCTGCCTCTGATGCCCTTTGACAGACAAGGAAAAGAGAATATCTACCAGGATACTTCAGGGCAGGCAAGGGATAGATTTCTACAATCTCTTTTGTAGGCAAGAATTGCACCCACCGTGGTACACTCCACCAGAGCGTGGAGTCTGGAACTACATTTCCCATAATTCCTTGCAGCAACAACTGGGGTCCAGGAGACCCCATAGCAGAGGTCAGACACTAGGGTTGACCTCTCCTCAGTACCCCCCCTCAGTTGATCCCAGGTGAGGGATAAATTTCTCCTTATATTCTGCACCACTGCTACCGATCAGCTCCTCATCATTAACTGGCTCTCAAGTTTTGGTTCAGGGATCTCGGTGGCAAGAAATAAAATCTATTTAAGCTGACTTAAGCAAAAAACGACAGCGTTATTGGGAGTTTAGAATCTAAGCAGGAACTAGGACTCGGGGCCTCACCAGGGAGAGGAAACGGAATTGAAAAGCCCCATGAAATAAAGGATGTCTCCCTCTTGCCAAATTTCTGTCTCTCTCTGAATGTGAGGTTTCTTTTCCTCAGCGTCTTCCACTTCAGTTTTTGGGTTCTCCACAGACTCCCTCCTGCTTTCCACTTCGTAGCTAAACAAATCCTTGCAATGACAAATGCAGAGAACCCTGCCTCCGGATTCTGTCGGTTTAGCAGCCCAGTGCCGATGGGTCCAGTCTAGGTCAGGGCTCTGCCTCAGACCCCTTCTTCTGCTTTGGCACATGAAGCTCCCATACAGCCACCACAAAAGGAACTTAGGGCTGAAAAGCGCATCTGGAGCTCGAAATGGCTCACATGCCCTCCGCCAGAGCTGACACCCCCTCAACCAGAGGCAGGAGCACATCTCTGTGAGAGAAGTCCTCCCACAAGAACGGGGGAGCAAATGAAAAGGAAACACAGCACTTAGAATGTTTTCTTCTGCAAGCGGGGCTGCCTTCTAGAGTCTAAGCAAATCAACAGCGGGGGGCAGGATTCTTATGGGACACCCAACGCCAAATGATGGAGACAAAGAGGACATTGATTATCTCACAGAAAGAGAGGGTGTGAGTGAGGGCAGTTCCTGGGTGGACGCAGTCACTGTTTCCACCATGGCCTAAAGGATCCATTCAGACTTGTCCACCTCATGGCTTCAAGATGGATGCTAGCAGTCCGGACATCACATCCACATTCAGAGGCAATAACAAAGACCTATCTCTTCTTGGACCCATTTTTAAAACAAAGGAAGCTTTTTTTAAAAGTGAAGTAAACAATTTTATTAGTAAATATGCAAGGCAAGAGATGAAGAAAATGGGAGAAAGAGAGTTCTGTAAAGAGACATCACATACCACTAGCTAGGAAGCAGGCAACATCAGACTAAAGCACTCCAAAAGAGAGAAAGCTTAGTCCAAAACTTGAGAGTTGACTTACCCTCCCATAGGTTTTTTTTGTTTGTTTGTTTTTGGGTCACACCCGGCAATGCACAGGGGTTACTCCTGGATCATGCACTCAGGAATTACTCCTGGTCCTGCTCAGGGGACCATATGGGATGCTGGGAATTGAACCAAGATCGGCCGCATGCAAGGCAAACACCCTACCCACTGTGCTATCGCTCCAGCCCCTTACTCTCCCATCTTATTCATTTGCTTCTTTCTTCATTTCTTTCGCCCCTTCTCTTTGTTGTGTTTGTGTGGCAGCACTGGTCATCAGGTCTTGAGCACACACAGGTTGTGGGGATCTCACACTCGCTGTGGTGCTCACACACATGTTCACCAGGGGTCGCACATCCTAGCTGTGGTGCCCACCATCTCATGGCTTCAAACACTCAAAACTTAACCCTGTAGTTAAGCTGCCTCCTCTGCCCTACAGAACAGGCATAGGATCTCTCTCCCCATTATGCGTTTGCGGGAGAAGGGTTTGGGCAGCAGGGGCTATTTCCTGCTCTGTGCTCAGGAGTGCCCTCTGGTGGTATTGGGGGCACTATATGTAATGCTGGGAATTGAACCTAGGTCAGCCTCAAGCGAAGCAAGTGTTTTATCTCTATCTCTCCCCACAGCCCCCACCTCCCAAGGTTAATTTCTGTTTGAGAATGCTGATCTGGGGTCAGGCGGAGGACTGGTGGAACCATGACTCTTATCTAATTTATCAGCATTATCCCAAACTCCAGTCACAGGGATGGTTCAGAAATCTGCAGCGAATTTTATTTGGGTCAGCTGGTTTTCTAGAAGTTCTGGTAGGATATGTGCTCTCAGGAAATTTCTTTAATTTAATGTTTTTGAAGTAATTTTGTTGTTGTTTGGGTCACACCCAGCAATATCAGGGTTTACTCCTCACTCTTCACTCAGTAATCACACCAGATGGTACTAAAGGGACCTTATGGGATGCTGGGGATTGAACCTTGGTTGGCCATGTGCAAGGAAAACACCCTACTCACCATGCTATCACTGGAGTAAATGTTTTTATTGAAAGAGAGAATAAGAAAAGATGAGACGTCGAAATGATAGTACAGTGCTAGGGCATTTGCCTTGCATGAGGCTGACCTAGATCGATCCCAAAGATTTACTTCAATGGTCCCCCCAAACCTGCTAGAAGTAATTCCTGAGTGCAGAGCCAGGAGTAACCCCTAAGCACTGCCAGAGTGAGCTAAGTTTTTTTTTTAAAAAAAAGATGAAATCATGTGGCTTACTGTGACTTGGACAGAATTGAAGGACCTACCATGTTGAGTGAAGTGAGTCAAACGGGAACAAATAACCAAATCCCTTATATATGTGGAGGATTACAAACTTAGTAAGGGCATTGGAGCTATAGTACTGCAGGGAGAGCACTTACCTTTCACATGGTTGACCAGGGTTTGATCCCTAGCACCCCATATAGTCCCTCAGCCCCATCAGGAGTGATCCCTGAGTGCAGAAACAGGAGCAAACTGAGCACTGCCGCAATGAAGGAAGGAAGGAGGGAAAGAAGAAAAGAGGAAGGAAGGAAAAAGATAAAAGGAATAAAGAAAGTAAAAAGAGAAAGAATGGGAGAAAGAAGATAAAGAGGAAGGAAGGAAGGAAGGAAGGAAGGAAGGAAGGAGAAAAAGTACTCAAGGGACTGGAGAGACAGTACAACAAGGTACGTGGAGGTTGGGAAGGCAAGACAGATTTAGAGCTGGGGGGGAGCTGGGGAGTTGGGGAATTGGGGTGCTGGGAACTTGGGTCTGAGCATCAGGAAAAATGCTGGGAACTGGGTACTGAGGACTTGTCAGTAGCTGGAGCACTGGCAGGCTTCACTGTAGAATACTTAGGTAAGTGATGGTGATACAGAGTAAGAGTCTGGGGTCTGGAGAGATAGCTCAAGGGGCTGAGCTATGTTTTGAACTGCAGGAGGTCCAGGTTCAATCCCCAGCACTGCAGGGAGTAGCATCTCCCCCTCTCCCCCCCACCCCACACACACACATCCCTGCCTCAGAACATAGAGCTGGGAGTATCTCTGAGCAGCCAGCCGTCGTTGTGGCCCCAAAACCAAAAGAAAAGAGAAAAAGAGGAATGATTGTCATAGATGAGGTGTCTCAGTTTACCTGTTTGTGAAACAGGCACGGGAGAGAGACACAGATCTGCCTTTCCTGGTCTGCAGACCCTCATCCCAGGATCTAGAAGGCACTGAGTCTGGAGGGGTCAGCAAGCACCCATGGAAAGAAATGGGGAGGGCACTAGAGACCTGGACCCAGAGATTGGTCAGCAGATAAACCAGGCAGGTGAGAGGGAGGCGGGAGGGAGGGAGAGGGATAAGGGAGGGAGGGAGTGGAGAGAGGGAGGGAGGGAGGGAGAGAGAGAGAGAGACACAGAGAGAGAGAGAGACTGGCACAGGAAGACAGGAAGTGGGTGGGGGAGAGGGGACGCCAGCCGCACCCTGCCTGGGAATGACACAAATACAGAGTTTCGGGTCAGAACAGGAGGAAGGGCGGGGGCTACCTGGCCCAGCCCTGCCCAGCCCTAGAGATGACCTGCCCACACGACCGGTCCCTTCCCTCTCAGAGGGCTGGGGACTTAGCTCAGATGTCTAGACCCTGCCTGGGAGCATGGCAGAGGGACAGAGACGGACAGAGACAGCCTGGCCACTCTGTGACACCTTCACCTCTACTCACCTGTCCGCAGGCCACCGGGGTCACCTTTTCCAGTTCGCCCCCTCCCCCATTCCCGCAAGGCTCACGCCTTCAACCACCTTCCCCAGGGGAACGCGAGCACCTCTCTCCGTCTCACCAACACCTTCCCCTGCACTCACCTGTCCAGGATCACCTTGCACTCACCTGCGCCTCCGAGCTCCCCCCTCCACACCCCTCTCCCACCTCCGTCCGCGCTCACACCCTCTCACGGCACTTTCCCCCTGGCGGTGCCCTTCCCGCACCTCCACTCCGCCAACCACACCCTCCCGCGCTCGCCCTGCGGGTGACACCCCCGCCCTCACCGCCACCCACCCACGCACCCATCCCCCTTCCCCAGCACCCCCAACTGGCATCTCCAACGGGCACCCGCCCCCCTTGCCCCGCCGCAGCGCCCCTGGTCCGCGGCCCGGCCCTGCAGTTCCGAGGGGGCGCCCCGGCCCCCCACGGGGTCTCAGGGCCTCTCCCGCGGCCAGCCCCGCCCCCACGACCAGGCCCCGCCCCCAGACAGGCCCCGCCCAGACACGCCCCTAGCTCCGCCCCCGGGCGGGCAGGGGGCGGGGCCCGGGGGCGGGGCGGGTGGCGCGGGCGGTGCAGGTGCCGAGCCGGGAGCGAGCGGTGGCGGCGGCGGCGGCGGCACCATGGGCCGGGCCCGGCGCTTCCAGTGGCCGCTGCTGCTGCTGTGGGCGGCCGCGGCGGGGCCAGGTAGGGTTGGGGGCCGGGGCCGGCCGGCTGGGTCCGGGCGGGGGGCGCGGCGCGGTGACAGCCCCGCGAGTGCAGGGCCGCAGAGGCCGAACAATGCGCGCGGGGCCGGGCCGGGGCCCCCTCCCCGGGACAAAGCGCAGCGCGGGCCGGGCGCCGCGAGCGGGGGAGGGGGCGCGGGCCCCGGCCGCCGTGCCGCAGCACCCCCACCCCGCACAGGCCCCGCTCCCGCGGGGACAAAGGGCCCGAGACACTCCCCCCGCGGACGCCCCCACCCCCCCAGCCCCAGCCCGCCTTCTCTTGCCCGTCCCTCTGTCCGCTGTCCGCGTCCCTCCGGCTGCCTGTGTCTGTGTCCCTCGCTCTCCCTCCGTGTCCCCCTACCCTTGTCCTCTGTCCCTCAGTCTCCAAGTCCTGTCCCTCCCTCGCTCTATTTCCGTTTCTCCTTGCCTCCAGGTCCCCCATCTCTCTGTCCCGTCTTTGTCCCCCACCTCCGTCCCTTGCTCCCTGTCCCCCTCATCCTCTCTCTACCTCGCTGTATTTCTGCCCTCCATCTCTGCGCCTGGCTCGCTGTTACCCGTTTTGCCACCCCCATCTGTCCCATCTCCTTGTCTCCCTGTCCTGTCTTTCTGCCATGCCCGGGGCTCTGCACCCCCTGCTCTCCAGTCCTGTCCCACCGTCTTCCTGCCTTCCTCTCTGTGCCTACAGCCACCATCCCCAGAATGGGTGCCTCTGGAGGGATGTGTATGAATGTGGGTGGCGGGAGTGTGGGAGAACCTCGGCCTGTGGGCACACACGTGGATTCAGCACCTGCCCTCCGAGGGCACACACCCAGGCCCTGACTTCCAGGGATGGGGGCCCCTGCAGACCTCTCGAATCCACTGTGCCAAGGGGGAGCCCTCCTGGAGATGGTGACCCTGAGCCTGGGGGACAAGGTCAGGACATGTCACCTACAGTCACTCTGACACTGTCTCCCACCCACTGCTGGTCATGCCCTACCTGGGGGCAAAGGCCATGCACTGGCTGGGTGCAGGGATGGGAGGGAGGGGGCTGCAAGTTCCACCAGTGGGGTGAGAGAGGGGTCACCAGCTGGCCCAGGATTGGGCGCCTGGGTTTAAACCTTGGCTCTCCTCGCGACACCTGCCACGCACCACCTCTGCCAACTCAGCCTCCCGTGTCCTGTCTGTAGAGGGTGTGAGACTCCCTGGCCCTAGAAGGACCCAGCTTGGAACCCAGGGAGGGTTTCTGGCCCAGGATTTGAGGCCAAGCTGACCGGTTCCCAGGGCCCTTCCCACTGCCCTCCCTGAAGACCTTGGGCTCCCCCCATCTTTCTCCAACACTGACTTGCTGTCCTTTCCCGGGTGGTCCTTTGCTTTGCTCGCTACATTTCCTTTCTTCTTCCTTTATTATTATCGTCTTTTTCTGGCATTCCCACCTTCCTCCCTCCCCAAACCTCTCATACTCATGCATGCAGGCCTCCGGGAACGGGTTTTAGGGTGCCCACTGCTCTCAGGAACTTACACTCCCCAGGCCTTGGCAGCTGAATGCCTGCAGATTCTAGAACCTTGGTGGCCTTTGCGCCGAGCATCCTGACATTGTGCAAATGCTGACACCGGGGCCTCTTGAACGCCCTGAATTCTGACCTCTTAGCAGCTCAGAGCCACGGCAGTTGGCGATCGGGGTTCTATGACTCAGAAGCTGCTCAAGGGCCCACCTTCCTGGTTCCGATCTTTCTTCCAGGTGGGAACTCTCCAGGCTGGGTTCGTGTAAAAGCCTCGCTTCCTGGCACCCCAGTTCCTCCTGTGCATTTTTCCTAAATGGAATGGCCGTGGTGTTCTGCACTCTGGGAGAGAGGGCACTGGGCGCCTCTCCCGTGGGAACTGGGGGACAGGGTCTCTGGGTGTTCTTTCTTTGCACCTCCCTCGCCCCTATGATGGCGGGAACTGGGCCTACACACACCCGCGCCCCCCCCCCCCCCCCCCACCGCGAGCTCAGATGACTCTGCCAGCTTTCTGGTCACTGGGGATTTCTGAATGGTCAATAGCACCTCCTTCTGCCTGCCCCTCCTCACCTGGTTTTAGAGGGCATAGTTGATCCCTGCCATTTTCCTCTGAGTCACCCCTTACCCAGCCTGCAGGAGTGGGGTTGGGGTGCTGGGCATCCTTTGTGCCCCTTCAAAAATGCACCCCCGCTCCTCTCCTGGTGCACCCTCCTCCCAAGAATCCCAGGACAGGGGGCTGAGATTTATGCTTTATGCTGAAGGGGTGTGTGTGTGTGTGTGTGTGTGTGTGTGTGGTGGGGGCCCCAAGATCAGAGATAGAGCCGAAACAGAAAGTAACAAATACATTCCTGGAAAGGAGAGGGGGGTTGTTTAGCGTTAGGAGGCATTGGAAGTGGGATGCTGTATTGGAGGGGCTGTGTTAAGCACCCAGAGGTTGTTGATCCTGGGGATGAGGGATCGTGTTGGTCTCTCAAACACTCACTTTTCTGGCTAAAGTAAGGTCAGGAGCAGGCGGCAGAGGCTGGGGCATCCCCACCATGAGTCACCTAGAGGCTGCTCTTGGGAGCAGTCACTGACCCCCAACACACACCTGGGCATCCCCTCACAGCTCAGCCTGGGAGTGGATTCCAAGGCCTTACGCACAGCCGGGCCAGTGGCTGGGTGGGTTAATGGCGTGCGAGCCTGGCCTGTCGCCGTCCCTCATCCCTCAGAGAACACAAAGGCAGCTTTCTCTCCGGGGTGCGGTGGGGGGGTGGCTGGACGCAGGCGGAATCGTCAGCGCCCAAAGGCCTGTGGCACCAGGACCCCAGCACCCACTAGCCCCCCCACCCTGTGGGTCCCTTGCACGCACCTCCAGGACAAGGGCCCCGATCCTCCTGGGGAGGGGCTGACTGGAGCCCACGGGGTGCCAGGAGGACAGTGGGTGCTCAGTGCCCACTTGGCTTGCGTCCTGCCCCAAACAGGAATTCCTCCCCTGACCCCACACCCAGAGGGGACCTCCGGAGGTCCCCACCCCACCACTGGGCCCGAGGCCCAGAATCTGGGGAGTTCTGAATATCTCAGGAATGTGGGGGCCACAGGGGGACTTTGTATGTGAGGCTGCTGACTCACCCTGACGCCCCCATCCCATGCCTGGGGCACTCGATAGGGGGACAGAGGGCTGGGGCAGGCAGGGCTATGGTTAGGGTGGGGGGTGGGGGGGGCAAGGAGCAGTGACTGTGAACTGAGAGTCAAAATTTTCCAGGAGAGGAAGACTGAGAACCTGAGCTCCAGGGTCTGAGAGAGGAGGCTGAGAACCTGAGCTCCAGGGTCTGAGGGAGGAGGCTGAGAACCTGAGCTCCAGGGTTTGAGGGAGGAGGCTGAGAACCTGAGCTCCAGGGTCTGACGAAAGGTGGGAACCTGGACTTCAGGGTCTGAGGAAAGAGGTGGGAACCGGAACTTCAAGGTCTGAGGGAAGAGGCAAGAACCTGAACTTCATTGTCTGAGGGAGAAGTTTGGGAACCTGGACTTCAGGGTCTGAGGGAGGAAGGGTTGGGGGCTGGGACCTTGGGGTCTGAGGGAGGGGGGCTGGGGGTCTGGGCTCCGGGGTCTGAGGGAGGATGGGGCTGTGGTCTTGCGGGAGGGAGGTGTCGTGGTGGAGAGAGAGACTTCTGAGTCCTGCGGGGAAGGGGCTGGGGGATCCCACTGCAGGTTTCTGAGAGGGGGGGGCTGAGACCCCGATGGCCAGGTCCTGCGAATACAGGCGCCTTCACAAGGCTGAGCTGGGAAGAATTGATGCTTTGTGCAAGGATGTTCGGACTCCGCCACTGATGGGGGGGCTGCAGGGGGGCTCAGTCAGGATGCAGGGACGTACCACCTTCTTAGGGGAGGCAATGGGAGAAGGAGGCAGGCTGCCACCAGCCCCTGGGGAGCAGGCACAGACCTGGTGGCTGTGACCTTCCCGGAACTGTGACCTTGAGCCTCCCTTGGGTACACGCCGATTCAGGACCCAGGAAGCGCTCCCCCACCTCACTTGGTTTCCGTGGAAACATCCACCAGCTGTGTGCGCTGGACCCCAGGCTCCTGGGTCTATAGGAGGAGGGACTGGGGCCGAACTCCTGGGTCTGAGGGAGGAGGATGTGGAGAAGCCAGGTGCCTGGGTCCTGTCGGCGGAAGGCTCAAGGGGTCAGGGCAGCCCCAGATCTGGGACGCCGAGGAAGCTGTGGCGGGTGGCAGTCGTGGTATGAGGGGGAGAGTCCTAGGTTCTGACTCTCTCCATATCACCCGCTCAGCCTCAGTCTTCTACACCCTGGCAGGCTTTCCACTCACCATCCCCATGACGACTGCAGGCTGTCAACACAGTTTAAAGGGCCAGCACCCCTGTCCCCAAAGCTCAGCCCCTCTCTGACCAGAAAGTCCTGCCTCACCACCCCCCAGCCCCTGAAACAAAAGCTCATGGGACATTAATATTCTAGGCACAGACACTGTTGGTTACTGACTCCTCAGGAGGGGGAGGGAACAAAACAATGCCCCCCCCTCACCCCATGTGCACCCTCAAGCAGAGAACAGGGATCGGTGGGGTGGGAGGGGGGCAGATCCAGGGGTCCCGGTGGTTCCGGAGAGATGTCGAATTTCTGCCACTAACATGCCCGAGACCTCTGGACCTTATTCTCCACATCTGTAAACTGGGGGGCGGGGAGGGGGCTAGCCCTAATCTCCCCAATTCGTGGATAGGCTTCCAGGTGACTCATGCACACGGGCCAGCATGCAGGTGGGCTCCAGCCTCAGGAAAATTGTGCTGACCAGTGCTTCCTGGCTGTCTGTGCTCTGGGCTCTGAGCCGACCCCTAGGAGGCGAGTCTGGCATCTCCCCCACTTTACAGCCAGGCCGTCTGAGGCTCAGAAGATCGCTTAGATGGTGAGTGGTCTAGGCTGGATCAACCTCGGTGCTGGAGATGAAGAGAAGTGGGCTGGAGAGATTCTGCAGGAGTGCACCTGGCGTGCACCCGCCCCTGGTGCCAGTGCCG